AAGAAATTCATAGAAATACTTAAATACATTCTTTTATAAATACCTACATAAAAGAAAGAACTCTGACCGATACAATCACACTCATAAGTCCAAGTTTTTATAGCATAAGAGGAATCGAACCCGCGACCATTAGAAGCGTAATGCGGTCTGCTATACCGCTAAAACAACTAGGCTTTCAAACCTAATTACAGACAAATGTTATTAATAAAAAAAAGTCATTGGCAAAAATATTTATTACTTATAGAAAAATCTGGCATATAAAAATTTACATTAAACGTTCTATCCCAATAACTGTTTGAGGAATGCTACAAATTGGGAATGTATAAGCATACAACAAATTAATTTTTAATTTTAAAGTCACAGTGAAATACGATTTAAATTATTTTAACACATATAACTTACATATATATTATAAAATTTGAGATTGAAAAACTTTCCGACAGAATTCAACCTGTATTATTGTCGAACACGGTCATCTTTACAGAAGGCGTGGTATAAATCTTTCAGACATTTTTCAAACATTTAGCTCATGATTATCATGGCCTTTTACTTATTAGGGTAGCGCAGTATATTTTCCTTTGCCATTGACCCCTATGAGCCGTTATACTAGGATTCCCTATTTTTGAAACCTTTAGGTGCTACCATATTATCTATATACCCCGCTACAGGTCTTTGTAGTATAAAATTACTTCAAAAAAGACTACTACAATTTCTTCTCTGCAATGAAAATAGATCTTTATTAACAAAGCGACAAGAAATATTTTTAGGAACCAATACGCACGGAACGGAATATTGCATTTATAAAGGATATTTATTTTGTATTAAAAAATTAATAATATTTGGAATATGATATTCCAGCATTACCGTAATAATATATTTATGAAATAAATAACCCTGGACGATTAACACAGCGCCATCTATTCCTATTATAAGTAGAGCTTGTGTTATGGGTACTAGTTGTCTAGTACCCATAACACAAGCTCTATTATATTCCATATTCATATAAATATTTAGATATTTAGACATACAAACAATCATACTCATGTGATCGTGCGAGGAACCGCACCCGCGACCATCGGAAATAAAGCTGTGCTAAACCGCTAGACTAGCGAGACTGAGGCCTAATACCCCCCTCTATAAGGGCATATAGATATTTGGTAGCAACCTACATGTACACATCATCTTATATTAAATTGTTACAATTCATTAGTATTATTATAATGAGGCAAGCAAATATTCGTATCACATAATATTAACAACACGGAATGCACTTATACATACATACATTTTTTTAATCATATTACTACAGTTAAAATCTGACTTCTATTATTATCAAATATGGTTACATATATTATTTATTAGCTTTTTTAATTAAACTATCTGGTAAGCTTATGTAGTTTATTGTACTGTGTTTTTTTATTCTTATTTTACAATACAATCTTCATAACAATGAAAATCTCTTATATTTACTTTACTTAGAAAATATATTATTATTTTTTTCTGTATTATTCTAAGTAAAAAACAACAAAATAAATCACTTTAGATAATTAATACATAAATTTTCTAAATTGGCTAGAACATATACATTCTGGAGGGGGATTGTTAGTAATAGGACTAATCAACTCATGGCTAGCAAAGTACCATGTTAGATCGACCTCCACGTAGTTCCCCCTGGAAACCATCGTGACAAGTTCCAGGTCAATTTGCCACGATCAGCTTGACTTCCTACTCATCAAACTCCACTGATGCCTCTCCACCGTTAAACCGTTAACGCAGGCGGGTGCACCATTCTATTATCACAATTAACAAAAAAATGGAAATAAATACCTGAATTTACCTCATTCCTATTATTCAAATATTTATTCTTGCCAGAATGAATATAAAATTAACGGCCGTTATAAGAGAACTACATAGCTAGCATTTGTACTAATACTTAAAAGTCAATATACATATTTATTATACATTTAATATACAATACATATTTTCTAGCTTTGGTTGGGGACGTAGACGCCGCGCAAAAGGAATTAATTGCAGAAGTCTGCATAATCAAGAAAATACTTGTTTATATTCGACATTTCAGACAGCGCCAACTAGTCCCAATACATAATTTGGTGGGGTGAAAGAATTATCAGTAATGTGGACTAGTACCCCTATTGTTGGTATAACTTGTCAGGTCGACTTCCGCGTGTGGAAGCTATTGTGGTTAATTTCTGCTGAATTCGCGTCGATGGGCTAGCTTACCCGACTTCATAATATTATTCTCTACGAGTGCCCCGCCAGCGTATACCATAAAGGCAGGCTGGAACACCATTCTATTATCATCTACATAGTACAAAACAAAGTGCCGGCGCCGACTGTTCGTTTATATTTTTAAAATACGTGACGATTTTAATGCACTTTCAGCTATAGATAAAGGGATAATAGAGGAAGGTTCATGTGTATAATACATGCGTGTTATAAAACAGAACAAGCCAACATATATATTATAATTTTTCCTAAATTACAATTTCAAGCACGATACATATACAATCACTCAGATATATAATCAATATACAGGGCTGGTCCTAAAGGGTCGGTATACCAAGGTGAAAACCAGCAAAAATTATAGTCCTCAATACAAATGTTTGCAACGTTGGAGACTTCGAACCTGCGACCAATGGAATAGGCCACCGAGGCAACTACCATTTCTTTTAGAGCGAGCTCTAACTTTTGGCTTAGTGTCTTATGACTAGCCCTCTATATTATTCTTATCTTAACATTTTTATACTCATATACTTTTTATATATTACAATAATAGCACATGTCATAATATTATGACTATGACCTCTGGGGTCCGGCAGTTGGGCTCCTACTAGTAGGAGGGCCTACTCGTAGAAACTAAATATATCCTGAGGATTATTTATTTAACTACAATCATCTTATACAACTATATATTCGTAATTATAGTTATAGTATTTCAAAGAAAACATTTATAACCAGCCTTTGAAAATTACAATGCAAATTTTCTTAGGCAATTTCATATACTTTGTTTAGTTTATATTCTATTTGATATTGCATAGTTATATACGTATAACATTGTCATTATTAACAAAGCAAATTATTCGTACCTAAAGTAGATATTACCTCTCATTGAGTATTTAATTTTATCTGTGTTTACGATGTATTTTTTTTTGTATATAAAAATACACATAGAAAAGGATAACATGAGCAACAGTTACAATTGAGCTCAAGATTCCATACATTAATATAATTTTAATAGACTTAATTTAATTATGAATTATTAGATGAACTCACTGATATTGTTACAAATTAAGTAAGTACATAATTTAAAATTTTGTTGCTGATTAAGTAAAAATATTTGTGTTATATTTAAAAAAAATAACAATGGGAGTGTAGTAGTAGTAATTATATATTCTTCTTTCTATAATAACTCAGGTAGTATAGTTTTTATAAAATGATAAAAAATATTATACATATTCATTTTCGCCAATTAGATTACACTTAAAAATTATTCGATGAAGACTAAAATTCATCAACAATCGAAACTTAAAAAAATAATGTTGATCTAACAATTATAATTTAAAACGATTTAAATTAAGAAAATATATATGTTTATGTTAATTTTATGTAATATTATTATGCTTTTCATAATGCTAAAACGGCGTCGCACCGTTTTATATTTCAAATATTTTATACACCTACAAAATTTTTGGGTAGAATAGAATTCAAACAATACTGTTAAAATATAAGTGTACATATAAGTCATATTGCATATGTATGTACATAGTACTGTTTCTCCATAAGATAAAAATATCTAGTAGATACAATATATAATCATAATTACAAGAAATATTAATTAAGTTTTGTGAATAAAGTAATCCCACGAAAAGAGATGGTTTGTTAGAAAGCAGCAGAATATTTGCAACGCCAACAATTATTCTCTGCTCTAATGGTTCACTGGTAGAAAATGCGCATGGTGTTAAGTCCGCAAAAGTTAAACAAATAATTAAATATGTAATTGAAGGTAGGTATAGGTAGGTAGGTAACCTACCTATATAATTCACGATCCAAAATGACCGTTATGAACTCATTTTTATCTCAAGTTATAGTACTGTATCTGATAAAATGGGCGTTATTAATATAGATAACAGATGAGCGAAAGTAAATAATGAAGCGAGTTATATTATTTAATTTCTGACAAGATTTAAAACATGACATCAATAGACTCAACATTTTGTTCATTTCACAGTCAAATTATCTTCTTTGTAATATGATTATATCTTATTTCTTTGTATAATCATTGTAAATTATTAGGGAGCTGTAAAAATTATGACATATTTTTTATAATGATATACTTTTTGATCATTATTTCGCAAAGATAATGTATGATTAATCTTTTTTATTGAAATAAACATAATAAGGACTATTTTGCTGTTTAAATATTTTTTTATCTTTTATTTCGCACAGAAAAAATATGATTGATCTTTAAACTCAAATACACTTACTAAGAACCATTGAATGATCAGGTTTTTTACCTAAATTAACAATTAGGAACTTTCTCATTTAAAAATTAAGGCAAATTTAAAAAATTATGGAAAAATATTTTTTTTAACTAATTACAATTAATAACAATAATCGATATTTAAAATACTACTGGATACAACGCAAATACTGCATTTATAGAGACATATAGTAACTCATTATTCTCATCAGTATATCACAGTTATCTATCGCGTGTGACACCATTTCTTTTCTATAGTAATACTATGAAAGTTACAAGTACTTTTTATCACGAACAAATAAGGGCCGTACCATACCATAGATAATATATCTGTATCAGTACGAATACGAAAATTTATTTAGTTTTTGTATCCACGAGAGATTAAAAAAATGTAACATCGGTCGCGTGTTTTCAAGGAATAAACTGATTACCAAATGACCGATTTAGTTTTTAGTGAAAACTAAATACATTATGCAATAGGAATGAATGACTCCGAACCTTTGAGGCAAAGGAATTAGTAGATTTTTTTCGGACTACTCTAATACTGTTAGCCGCTGGCCTTCACAGCTTCACCGGACGATATGGGGAGAGTGCAGATGGCACTGCAAAACTCGGAGGGCTTATGGAGCGGCTGAAAGCCAACTCCCGTCTGACGGATACGACTTTAGCCTGAGGGCACCGCTAGGTGTTCGAATCACGGCTCAGGCCGTCATAATATTGATCCCAGTTTGCATAGGACGGGGGATCGATCGGAGAGGCGACTGGAGCACCGGAGTACAGCGCCCGGGCGCGTGTCATAGATTTGTATTTTGCAATGCCCATGACTGTTCATGTATATCGATGAGATAGTTGCCACGTTTTCTCGTATTATTAGATTATTTGCTATTACTATCACATAAAAAATATTATGCCTTATACTTAATTTCTATAGAAGGAATTGCGTTTATATTACACATTGTCTATCTGAATATATATATATATATATATATATTGTTTGCACACTGTTATTGTACCATATATAATATAAATCAGTGTATTATCATATATAATTTATACACCGAAAATCAGCGTATAAAACATTTTCAGCATTTTGCTGAGTATTGGTCCACATTGACTCCTGTTTTGTAATGTGTGTAAATTAGTGTTTGTGTTTTTTCATGTCATTATTCTTGTGTCAAGAAGAGTCTGTAAAATTCTATTCTATTCTGATAATGCACTGTCTTATACTCATACTGTTGATCACAACTGTTGACTTGGCATTAAGTTTGTCACATATACATTTTCTTGTGTGCAGAAAAAAAAACAAATTAACAGTTATGTACAAATAAATTCACATAAAACTTTTAAACATACTGATCCGCTGTTTACCAAAGCCGATGTAATGAAAAGTTACCTCCCTTCTTGTACGAACACTGTTGTTTATGGTAATTCGTGAAACTCGAAGTCCGTATACAGTTGTTGTACGCGTTTATACACCTCGTCGCATGATGATAATGTTTGCGGTAGTACAGCCAACGCTGCAGCTAGACTTGCCTCTGTGCCGAAAATCTAAAAAGCATTATAGTATCACTGTTTTTAAATTTGCGATATAAATTATGGAAATGGAAACCGAAATTTCAGCTTGAGCCGAGGTTCGAACCTCTCTCAGTATCAGAGTAAACCCTTATTCGATAGCCCGGAGTTGGCCTTTAGTCACACCATAAGCATGTTTTTAGCATCTATTGTACTTGTCTCAATTTTCAGTTAAAGTCCAACAAGGGCCAATAGCACTAGAATAGTTTAAAAAAAAACAGCGCACTATGGCATGATTTCGGATATAAACGCATAGATTTTCAGGCTACACCCAGACTGTGTGACAGTAGAGATTGTATCACTACCTAGTGCAAGATTGAGGACGAATAAAGTTCGTCATACTTAACGATTCATTCTATGCCAACTACAAAGCACTTAATTTTTTAAATATTATAAAAAAAGGAGGGCATGCGGTTTAGCCTTACTTCTATTGGTCGCGGGTTCAATTCCTCGCATGATGCGAACTTTTGTATTCATGAGTATGATTGTTTGTATTGGTCTGTGTTTTCTATATAAAAAAACCCAGACCGACAGAAATAATCTTACTCATGAATACAAACCTTACTTGCACCGTGCGAGGGATCGATTGAGAATCGATTATGTCTGTACAAAGAAAAATGTATTTAAGTTTCCTGTTATTATGTACATAATATATGTACATGTCTATAATATCTGAGTATATCTATCAGTTGTCTAGTACCCACAACATGCTCTGCCTAGCTTGGGGATAGATGACGCTGTGTGAATTATCCTGGGTTATAATCATCTTCAAGTAAGCAATTACCTTTCAACTATCTATATTTAGACAGAATATCCATACCTTTTTGAGTAGGTCAGGTCTTGTTGGCAGAGCATGCATAGCGAGCGTAGCAGCTTGCCGTATGTACCACGGGTGGAATTCCGCAAGGGTTTCATTGTATGACCCTTGACATGTGGTACATGTGCTTACAGTATCATTTGATTCACTCAACCTTTTCAGGAATAATCTGATGAAATCTGAAATATAAGTACCAAAAAGCTTAGTTGTATATTTGACAGATTTACCTGAGGTAGACTGGACTGTAAATTCATTTGTTTGTGTAGGTACCTAAACCAATGACGTATTTATAGACCCAGATGAGTTTCACCTATTTTTATTTTTTAATTGTGATATATACGACCCAGATATTAATTTCCAGGCCCGCTACTGAGTCTCACCTATTTCAGCTGACAAGCAACTTGCTCTATAAGCTGTATTTGGTTGTAGCATGTGGTTTAGGCAGTGAAATTAAATATTAAGAGGCAAAACATCTTAGTCTGTTGGGATGGCAACATACAAGTGGTATTACAGGCATCAAACAATAATAACATGTCCATAGTGTTGTTCATGTATATAGAAGACAGACGGTCACCATTTACCATCAAACAGGAGATCAGCATCTTTGCCACCATTATTTATATTATGTAAAAAAAACACACTTTTAATAATAAAAATTTTGTAAATACTGTTGATTAAAACGATTTTATTTTTGGGAAATCAACTGTAAAGGTTTATCTCAAAGTTAGTATCTGTTTTTTTTTAGTTAATTTAATTTATCATTAAAGAGTATTTTTGTACAGGCAACCATTCAAGCAGAGCCAGTAGTATAATCATCATTATATAGCCTTCATCCTATTATTTTGGGGTTAATTAATTTACAGAAACAAGCTTACAACTCTCTGACAGATTAATTTGGCTAATATAGATGTTTCTATCAACAGAGTAGTAGTCAGAAATATAAACTGCTATGAAGATTTACATTAGTCAGTGAGATTTGATCACAACCTTTGAGTTAGGTTGGTTACAAAGCTATAATAACACTATGAATTATAAGTATAAAATTGCTTATCATTATCATGTAATAATTATTATCATAGTTATCAAATGATATGCCACCTATACTAGCTGATAGTATTTATAAAGTAAACTTTCTTATCATTCTGTAATTATTATAGTTAATTTTTGAAGTAAAGACTATAAATTTACTAATATATCAAATATAAATTTTTATGATATAAAGTATTTGATATGGTCAAGGGCATATTGTCCAGACCAGTAGTAGTAATGTGAGGATGACGCTTCACAGGGGGGTAATTTCATTGTTCAATAGGGCGATTCGAAAATAGATTCTTTATTAAAATAATGTAATGTGAATATGAATTCTTCATTACATGTTTTCAAAATTTACTTACTGTTTCGTTTTTATTTGATTATTAACAATTTTCTAGTAATTTCTTCCTCAAACCTATTATTTGTTTCTTAAAATTTTTATATTATAAATTATGTATTATACAAAGGGAATTTTAGAAAGGCAAAGGTGGGGCATGGCTCCAAAAACGTTAGGAAACACTGGTCCAGACAGTGAACAGAAGCTAACACTTCTCTATTAATACTATAAAGAATTTTTTTTTTTTATTTCATCAATAGGCAACATTTACAGCAAGTAACTGAGGTTGTATATTTGATGTTATTGGAGATTGGTTGGATTATGGTTACACAATTTTTTTAAATTTTTGAATAAATACAAAACAGTCCTACATTCAAAAGAACTTGCTTAATCAACTTTTGGAACAAATTCATAAGATTGCACAGTAGTGCGTGAGAATAACTTGTGAATATATCTAATAAGTAAAAACTATAACATCTCACAAGTTTATTATAGCTAGATGCTGTTTGTAGTAAACAAGAGAAATAAATAAGAACTAATAAAGTATAAATAAATACAAAACTAAAGTTGTAGGATTGTTAGTAATTTATTATTTAATTTAATTCAGGCTACTAATGGCCCAAATCATAAATACCTTAAAGACTAAGATAGATATGAATGATATATTATTAGAAAATATAAATTGTCCATGTGGTCACAGTACTGATGACGGCAATCTGCCATGTAATGAACAATAGAAGCACCATGTCAGGGCAACCTACACATCAACAATACTCCCCTGGAAACCATTACTGCTATGAATTTGACACAATGCTAAATGACCTGACTTCATGCTCAACCTTTCATCCTCCTGGTGGACACCAGAGTATTTCTTCAGTGCAGGCAGGTACACCAAGATATTATCAACCATGAAAAACCACATACCCAAGCCTCTATGTAGACGTAGCATAGTCCTCGAGCCGGAAACAAAGCCACTCTTCTCGTGTAAACCCGTCTCTTTCTCATACTTCATCATCTTTTTAAAAGATTCATACTGTATGGCATTTTCACCCTCCTTATGTTTTTCCATAACTTTAATTTTACTCTTAACATCACTGCTGACAAATGAGAACACTGTGCCAATAAGATTTAGAAATCTGTAAACAATTAATGTTAATTAGAGATAAACCATATGGTTAGGGATTATTAAATATTCAAACTTATTTGAAATAACGTATATATTTTTTTGACATAAATCATAAAGGTTTTTAGAAAACCAACTAATTTAAACTAAAAACTTACTTCACTAATTCATTATAGCCGTCAATATAAGCCTCTATTACTACATCATCATTTTCTTTGAGGCTCCGTTGAAAACTTTGATGTACGTAATGTAAATCTAAGCTGTTTTCATTGGACATATTTTATATAATACTTGAATAACACAATGAAACTAAAATAATTCTAATATAAATTAAAATAAACAATATACGATATCAGAATTATTTGATTACGATTATATGAAATATAATTTCAAAGCAGACACTGAACTAAGAACTGAATGAAAAAACTGCAAACAAAACATAATGGACAGTTTTAATAATGTCAGTCAATGTCACTCAATTTAAGTCTATTCAAGGATACCTCTTGTTTTGTGAAAAATGTACACTTTGATAGATTTGATAATGAGACTTTTAAATAAAACTACTACGTAATAAAAGTACGGTTTTATTTAAGTATTGTTTACATTAAATTACATATAAATATTTTTCAATGGCACAAATTATACAGCATATCACGATAATGTGAACAGACTATAGAAAGATCAGTCAGATCAGTAAATGTCAAACTTGGAGTGTCATTGTCATTAATTGTCATTCTGTTTTCAGTCCAATGATACCAGACCGGAGAGTTTCCCCATAATAAATGGGTGAAAATAAAGGTAAATAGAAACTTATGGTTTCTAGGAAAAAATAATTTCAGCTAGAGAGAATTAAAATATTTTATCTGAAATTTAAAGTTCATAGATTGACTTACTGATTATATACCTTTGTGTAATTTTGACGACTAGGTAGAAAGATTAGTAGTACCAGTATAGACTTATTTTCGTAAACTGCAATATTGTATAAAATTTGGGAGAAAGTAGACATTATCTGGCAATATAACCTCAGCCAGTCAGTACGTCAGTATGGCACAGGTCACTTATGTCTATTTATGTCCGTAGATCATTCATAGATTCTTATTTTGTTATAATTAATTCGTCAATTCCTGTGATTTCCCAAAATCTACATAAATAATTAAAAATACCAAATTACCTAGCGTCGTTGCTCAGTACTTTCATATAAATACATTTCACAGTGTCTCATGTATGTACCTTAATATTTTAACATAATATCATATTAATATATGTGTTTGCGTCAGTGAGTAGCGTCAAGATTATATTAGTGTTTAATAAACTTGTAATCTAAATAAATTGTGTCACTATCTTGTGCAGTATTACAAACAAAATCGGATAGTGTGGCCTTTGATATTTGTATTTTTCTGGTACGTCTAGTTTTGTTAACCTGTGTATACCCTCTAAATAATATTTTTGTGATTACCTGTTATAAATAAGTAAAACAATATGGTTTTGAAGTGTTATTAATTCACATTTGAGGTATCAATATATATGTATTTATTGAAGTTTGTACATAATATAATATAATAAATAGTGAAAATAGTGTGGTATACTGGCATAGTGTGACCAAAAAATTAGGTCATATAGTAAATTGTATATGCACAATTTTAATGAGCACATGCAATAGCATCTTATTTATTTAATACTGTCAATAAAAACTTTACAACAAAATTTTGATTAAAGTTAAATTCAAGTGGTCTATTCTTCATATATATATATATAATATGTGAATTGTAAACTTTGATCTTTATAGTAATAAAGTTCATTACTTTTTTTTATATATTTATAACATAGCTGGTTAATTGGTAAATTTGATTTGTTGAGAAGTTTTTAAGACCCTGTTATTTTGTCCAATTTAACTAATCTTAATATAATTCAATATATGTGTACAGAATTATAGTGTACAATAGTTAGGCTTAATGATATGTGAGTTTGTTTGTTGACTTTTTCACACATATATGGTCAATATTAGCAACGAATTGATAATTTTATTACTACAATTTTGGCATGATGAAGCATATCCTCATCATGGAATATAGTCATACACATACTCATATGTATACTAAATACATACATATATTTCTATTAAATGTGTTAACACATAAATCCCCATTGTACTGTTTTCAGATTGCATGCTAAATGTTCAAATTACTATAATTGATTATCATTATAATTAGTCATATTTTTAGTAGTAAACATAGAGTCAAGGTCAGAGAATGGTGATGATGAATCATTTTTGTACTGGGTACTTTCCCATTGACTGTATGTATAAATATAATAGAAAATAGTAATATCATTAAGTCTAACTATTGTACAATTCAATAGTTTAAATAAATAAAGAAAAATTTAAATATCACCATTTGACTGTTTATATCAATGCTAAAATGAATGAATAGAATGCTAAAATCCACAAAGTACATACACATTTGATTATCATTATAATTAGTCATTATTTTTTTAGGAGTAATCATGGAGTCAAGATTAGACAATGGTGATGATGAATCATTCATTGTACTGGGTACTTCCCCTGGTACAAGTCTGGATTTAAAGTGTGAAGGCATGATTAATGGTCATGGATCATTTGACAAGATTCAAATGGAGGATGCATTAAAGGACCTGTCCATAGAGGCAAAATCATCGCTGAAGGCACACTTCCGGTTGGGCGATAGTGTGAGTATAATTGTACACATTATACAAATAGTATATTTACTATAGTTTTGTTGTTTATGAGCTTTTATTTAGATATTGTTACAAGTGCTCAGATCAACTTGAACTAGCAGCCCATCCTGGTTTCGCAGAGATATACATGTACTATATATATAAATCTTTCTCCTGATACACTCTATCTATTGGTAAAAACTGCAATGAAATCATTGTGTAGTTTAGTTAAAAAATCTAAGTGAAGAGACAGTGGAAACTACTTCATTTTATACTATGTAAAGATAATAAAAAGGATCACCCGCCTGCACTAATGGTTTATGCTGATAAGGCACCAGTGGAAGATGATAGGATGAGCATGAGGTCAGGTCAGTTAGCCAATCGTGACAAATTCTCTAGTAATTTAAGTATATGATGATTAGGGACAATCACATGGAGGTCAACCTGACTCTGTACATTGCTAGCATAACTAACAATCATACCCATGTCAGAATATTGGAAGCTCATAAGCAACATAATCATAGTAAATATCCCATTTATATTATGTATACAATTGTAAACAAGTGTGAAAATATTAAGTAAAGTGTGAGTGTGTTTAATTACATGAATAAACTTACCACAAATATTTCGTGTTCAAGGTACACCTATTAAATCAAGAAGTTTCAGAGGTATTATACATAAAAAGCAATATTTATTTATATTTAAAATCAGTATGGTATAAGTAAAGTTTAATGTGAAATGCCAGATTCTTTGAGCACAGATAATCTTAAATTGGGATAGTAATTTATAAGGTTAGGTTGTCCAGTCTTTCATTTTGTTTATGTTATACCAACTAATGATCATGGTACGCCAGTGTGTTGCAACACTGACTTAATCTAAGTATATAGGGAAGTAGCAACGTTAGGCATTAATGGCTGTGTCTTCTTCAGCAGCTATGAGTCCAGTGCTGGATGTGTCTCTTGCATTATTTTTAACTTTCTTCAATCTGCTATGCATCTTGGCTCCAATCTTGTCCAATGCTAAAGCCCCATGCCCTTGATAATATGTTTAAGGTGGATAGGTCATGGTTTTACTGAACGGATTTTGAGGAAACTTTACAGTAATATAGCCTATACATCAGAATAACATATAGACCATAAATTTCACGCAGATGAAACCGCAGGCACAGCTAGTATGTAATAAAAATACTTGATGCTCTACAATTTGTTCCATCTGGAATTAAATAATATGATAATTATTAAATTCTAGGTAATTCTCGCATACATTTAGATTTATGACTAAGTACCGGTTGTATCAACTTATCTTAATATTTGATAATAATTGATAACAATTGATTGAAAGTTGCATTCCATGTTATCAATAATAGAAAATCGCTTCAGAGAAATATCTTTGCTACTTTTATTTTTATTTTTAATTGTCTATGTTATATATTAAGTCTATGGTGAATAGATTTCTTCTGGTTACGCGCTCTATATTCTTAGTGTTGCCATTATTTTTTACCAGATAAGGAAATTAAAACTAACCAACTAAAAAAAAATCTGTAATAGAATACAGAGTTTTTTATATCATTGCTCACCATGCTACATAGAGAATCTGAGCTTACTAAACGTCAGAGTGTATCTAGAAGTGTACCTACTTTCATAATCTTGTAATTTAAACAACTCTATGTCATAAACGTTATCACGTTATCATTCGCTATCTATTATCACAATGTGCTATCTACGTATTATCAAAATAACTGAAATTTATAATATATACATACATATTGTAATATTTTTGTATAATATATGTATATTATGGCTAGTACAGTCAGATGGCACCTATTTACGGGGACAATTTTTATTCAAATAATATTATCTGCTGAGATTTATATCTATACTAGCTGACCCGCAAACGTTGTTTTGCCATATAAATTAAAATGCTATTTAAAAAATGCTGGTTATGGTAGAAGGGTGAAAATTTAGGGTTGTATGATTTTTTAATTACATATTTAGGGGTGGACAACCCTTATCACTTAGGAGTATGAAAAATAGAAAGTAACCTATTCTCAGACCTACTGAATATGCATATTATTATTTTTTTAAATACGGTCAAGCCGTTTCGGAGGAGTATGGTAACTAACATTGTGACACGTGAGTTTTATATATAAGATAATGTCTTTTGTGGTGTACTGACAGAATACTTAATTTGACGGATAACTGATCCTGTCCCTACATAATATATTTATACAAAATTATGATATAAGACATATACAATAGCATATGTTATGGTAAGACAGTCCAACAACTATATATCTTCACGCTAAATCTCTTACGGGGTAGGCAGGAAGAATTGAATGCAAATGGAGTCACTTACCTCAATGTACTTTTTTTCAGCCATCACCAGGCAGTCTTATGGCCGCCAGCAGTATAATAACAGATGATAAAACCACAGAGGAACTACAGAAACGCTTTGGTGAACTGCTCGACGAGAACGTCATATTAAAAGAGACATTGAAACAGAACAATGACTCTATGAAAGAACAGTTCCTGCTAATAGCGTCCTGTCAGGAGGACATGATGAAAACCCACACGCTTCACAAGGAGAAGTTTGTTGAAACTAAGGAGTTAGTAGAGAAGGTTAGTGTGATATCGAAACTTTGTTGGTTTAGTGGTTTAGCACGACGCCTTGCTTCTGATGAACGCGGGTTCGATTCATCGCACAATTCAATTATTTGTCATTATGTACCATACACAGAAACGCCCATGTATTTCTATGTATATTGTGTGTATTTACAATAGTAGAGAAGTTGAGTATGCCATCAATCATCGGTTGTATTAACGGTTTAGCACGCTGACTTACTTCCGATTGACGCGGGCTCAATGCATCGTTCAATGCAATTGTATTCTTATATTCATAAATATGAGTGGTCTATACCATCATACATAATATACAGAGAAACACTTATGTGATTATATGTTTATTGTATCGTATAAGTACACACTATTTACAATAAAAGATATTTGAGTATTTCTATTTGTGGTCGAGTATCCATAATATAGGCTCTGCTTAACTTTACGGATTTGTCTAAGGTTTTAAAAAAACATACCGCCTTTGCTTATAACCGTACCAGAATGCATTCAATAGTTTAGTAGAAGGAAACGGAAAGATACTGATGGAAACAGCTAGTTTTGATAGTACTATATTTATTGAAATGGATTAGCGTAGTTTTGCCCCGTACTCTATTTGTCAGGTTTAAAAGATTTATATTCTATTGTGGTGGGAACACCACAATAGAATATACAAATTCTGGGGTAAATATATTTAATTGTCATTAAATCGAAAGAAGAAGTACAAACCAACCCTACAAGTCTACAAAACAACTATCTAACATATCTTATTCCAGTTGCGACACGAAAATAAGAAGTTGAAACAAGACCTAGCACGCTTGGTTGACGTTGAACAGACAAACGGTGAAACAAGCAGATCTCCGCCCAGTTCAGGAGTGGAATTCGTTACGTCACCTGATGATGACACCATCAACAAGCTGACTGCACAGTTGGAGCTAGTTGAGAAGCAAAGGAGACAGGTAATAATAGTAGTAAATATAATTTTATCAAATCTTACTAATGTTTTAAATGTGGAAGTTTGTAAGTGTGGATGAATGGATGGATGGATGTTTGCTGAATGGATTTTAATGAAACTTTACAATCATCATCTGCTTCTTCCTTATCCCATTTATTTGGAGTCGGCGCAATGTTTTTCGGTTCCATTCATCCCTGTTCGCAGTCACCTCGTTATTTACTTCCTTTCTTAACATATCATCTTTCACACAGTCCATCCATCTCTTTTTCGGCTTTCCTCTGCCCTTATAACCATCCACATCTATATATAACACCTTCCTAAAAGTGTTATCTTCATTCCTACGCATTAATTCATTTAATGAAACTTTACAAAAATTTACATTAATTCATTAAAATTTACATTAAATTTAATGAAACTTTACAAAAATTTACAGTAATTTAATGAAGCTTATACATCAGAATAACACATATATTTTCTAATATGTACAAAACTTGAATTGTCTAGGGTAAAAAATATTGCCATTTCAACAAAGGGAGAAGCAAAGTTTTAATAAATAATTTACCATATTATTCTATTTCAGGTTATAGTTGACAATGAGAAGCTGACGTGGCAAAAAGAGTCGTTGGAGCATGTAGTTGATGCCACTACCAAGGAACGCGACGATCTTAAAGAACAATTACAGAAAGCACAAGTAAGTATTTTTTCGATAGACTTTGTAAGTCATCTGTGTTTCAGTTGATGAGTTAAATAATGCAGTGAAGTTTCATAGTACAAAGGCATTATAACTTAGACCTCCCGAATGGATGGTTTTTAGGTAGTTTTATTTTATATGTATATGTATATAGTCAGAAAGAAAATACAGAAAATGACTTGTAATACGGAGATATATGCTAGGAACAAGTGACAAGACTTTGTAATATTATATAAACAAAATGTCCAATAAAAGAACTATAAATTTAAATACAAATTTAGAATGAAAAATACATTTCTGATTAGCCAGTACAGTGTACAACAGGAATGTTTACTGCTATGGACTACATGATGACGGTATGTCTGTGGTTCTATTCGTGTATATAGGCGGCGATTACCACTTCAGGTATATGTTATTGGTGTGCAATAATATATATATTACATTCATACGCCTTGTCGGTGGAGCTGCTGCCATTCTCCACAATTTCCATCATACTTTTTGCTTTATATAAGTATATATAACTAATAAATCCCTATTTCTCTTGGTCGCGTAAACGATTGTACCTATTTCGCTAGTTCTTTTTTGTTTTGTTTGTTATTGTCAGTAGAACGTTTAAAGAGTTTTTTAAAGAATAAATTAAGAAAGTCGAGGAATTTTAAAAAAGTTAATCGTTAATTCAATAATTATACTTAATACAAAACAATGTCTGCTGTATCATCTGGTATAATATATATATATAAACTGTATGTTGTTATAAGTTATGTTTTCCTATTAATGGTCTAGTGCCAGTACATGCTCAGCTACTTTGGAATTAGATTGCTGTTATCCAAAGTAATTTGTTATGTAAATATTTGCAGAGATAGCAATTAACCTTATTATTCGGCTTTGTCTCGTTATTTAATCTACTTCTTTGTAATGTATAAATAGTACAAATCAAAGTCCCTGTTTTCGTCTGTTTATGTCTTCGTTATTTCCACTTACTTTGTCTTAACTTCTCTACAGATTTCAAGATGTTTTATAATAATAGTAAACTAACCAAATAATTATAATTTCAGCTACAACTTACAAGTAAAGATAATAAATATGAGAACCATATTCAAAGTTTAAACTCGAATATACAAGAACTGCAGATCCAAATCGACGCTGCTAATAGTGTGGTAAGTTTTTTACAAGTACAATGGTGTGCAAACAAACATATTGTAACTGGAATGGGATTAATATACAACTATTTAATAAATGCAAGAGTAATTAACGTGTATATATTTCACAAGAGGGGTCCCAAGGAAATCAATAGTGACTTATAAAAAAAGAGAAAATAATACTAATTTAAAAAAAAAAGTATAGTCAACATTTTGCTAGCAACACAAATGGACCACTAAATGGAATTCAATAGTGATAAATTTTTATATTGATTCAATTTTAAAATATATTGAACACTATTGAACTGTACTCCTGTTAACGGCAACTTTATGATTATAAGTAAAAATTTATTATATTGATATTTGAATTTTATTGTAGAAATAGGAAAGAAATAATCTTTGTTGAAATAAGCACTACTAAGTTGTATAATTTTTTTTTATATAAAATACTAGCTGCACCCGCTACTTCGTCCGCGTGGAATTTAACTTTATTTTTCTAAAATAAAAGTAGCCTAAGTTACTCCTTATTACATCAGCTACCAGCCAATAAAAGTCCCGTCAAAATCGGTCCAGCCATTTCAGAGATTAGCCGGAACAAACAGACAGACAGACAAAAATTGTGAAAAATGATATTTTGGTGTATGTACCGTATTTATATTCATATAAAAACTCTCCAATTTTATTTATATGTATAGATATATAACCATATATTATATAATTACAAAACTGACGGGCCTTCAACGGTAATCTGTAATCGTCGTTTATTTATCCTTTTTGCTCTGTATATGACCCTTTATGACTACTTAATTTTGTGATTGCAGTCAAGTTTGTCGTCGGAGGAAATGACAAAACGTGATTCAACGATTCGACAACTGGAAGCGAAGGTTACGTACTTCCAGACGGAGCTCAAGGATGCACAACTAAAGCTTCTAAATTATGAAAATGTTAAGGTACCCTCTAATTTAAATATAATATACATATATTTTAAATTTAATTTATAAATATTAAGTATTAAGTAGATTAGCGGTGTAATGTTACATAATTACTGTTCATATTGCAATTATCCTGTAACAATTAGTAAATATCATCTGTAGTAATACTTAGAGTGGTAGTTTTTGTGCATTGTTTACGTTATTCTTTGTTTGCTTAAAATTCTAGTTTTGGGATAGCAGATATATCAAAATCTTTTATGTTTAAATCTTAAAGTCCATTTCTCTTTCATTTTAAATTATATTAATTAATTATTTTTTATTTATATTTAATTTTTTATTAATTCTATTCATTATTTATATTTAATTATAAACTATAGCAGTATATTTAGCTTTTTAGCATGTAATTTTTGTTTTTTTCAGCTGGAGTACATGAGACAAAAATCAGCTCTGTCAGAGACTATAAAAATGTACAAAGACCAAATAGATGATCTCAAAACTAAATTAAAGGACACGCAAACTATTGTAAGTTTATTAATATCAATAATATTCATTAGTTGCAAAATTATACGATAATATTGGCAGTCATTTTCGGAACTAGTAATGTCTGCACAGACAACAAAATCGGCCCAACTGTATCAGAGATAAGCAAGAGAATCAGACAGACAGTATAGTAATCAGAAGTATCGTATAAACTTTCATGATGATGATGATGATGTCCTCCTTGTTATAAATACGATAACAGCGACTCACAAATGTTTCCTTTCAAGCACTCTTATGTGACTAGCGAAACCAAGTTTATATATAAAGACTCGGTCGCATTGTGTACAGTAAAGTTAGCCAGAATCATTGTAAGTATAGGTGTAGGAGCGCCTCCCGAGTCTTACGGGTGTAGCGTTTCACAGGTTCTTCTCAAAATTCTCCAGTCATATGCATTTAGTGAAACGCTGTTAATTACAAACAAATACTTCAACTTTATTTATTTGTATAGATTAACTGTTATACTATAGGGGATTGTTATAGTAAAATGTATGTTATGTGTACAGACATTCCAACCAGTGAGGGTGTCCATAACTCCAGATCAAGAGCCATCGTCTTCCAGTAACGAACTTGCAACCTTCGCCTCTAATATCAAGCTGTATGACAAAACGTTGAAATATCTCTCGGAGCATCTAAATGGAGTCACTCATGGGTATGTCATTATTATTCATATGCTTCTGTATCCGAGTTTTGTTAGATAAAAAGGTAGATATATAATACACTTAAATAAATTTAATATATCTACTTTACAATACACTCACAATTTTTACCCATTATAAATGGGTAAAAACTGTCATTATTCCAGCTTATTCTGTAAATAATATAAATGATGTAGTGGAGTAACCTGAAAAAGCCAAGCTCGCTATAAAGTTCAAACTTGTGGAGGCGTGGTGGGGCGGGTTAATGTGCTTTCTCTAATATGATTGAGTGCTTTAATGGCTGGCTTATCCGTCATACTCGTGAACGGGTGCTGCTTGTGGGAAGTGGTCTGTTCAGGATTCGAACACTGATTACACTATTTGCTTTTGCAATAGCAAGCATATGCTTGTAATCACTCTATTCCTCTATTCTCCCAAATTTGAATTTAAAAATGAATCTGTATTATTGTAAACATGTACAACATTTATTTGAAAAGAATACGAGCTGAGTTTCTCGTCAGTTCTTCTCATCTCGAAATCATTCCGAACTGACGGTAGATTTGACATATCATAAGAATTTGTAATAGACCTACATGAATAAAGAACAAGACAAAATATTTTGAATTTTGAAAATATAAAACTTTTTTTCGGCCAGTAATATAAAAAAAGTGGCTACAATATAGGTACAAAAAACGTGTGAGTAACGTAGTGTGTTTTATTCAATTTCAGATTGGTAGATAACATAGTGGAGACTATGGGCGTAGTGGCCAGCCTGTGTGATTTCAAATTAGAGCGTGACACCACAGAGACGTTCAAATCTGGTCTCATTGAGGTCCAACGACAATTGCAGAAACAACACAGCAACGCGTTAAATAACATGTGAGTATGATTTCTGTCTGTGTGTGTAAGGTTACGTCTGAGAAGAGAGTCTGAATCTCTTGCGGTGTTATATATATATACCAATGCATATAAGTGGAGTAATTAGTTCACATTACTAACAATCCCTTTCGCCCACTCTGTTATGATTGGTTAGAGTTTTTTCTTACTTATTCAAATGGTTTTTTGCAGAAGTCACATTAGAAGTACATTATCAATATTTGAGGGTATATTCAAAGATCACAAGGAACTGCTTCAAAAGGCCAGAAGTAAACAAGAATGTGTAAGTAAATAAGATGACATAAGAGATTCTCTAGACCTCTGATCTAAATTCCCAAATTTTTTATGTGCCTACGACACAAACACCGACACCGTTGCCATATTTTTCGGTTTGTCGGAAGAAACGGCTGCTCACGTTATCTTGAAGTGCGTAGAAGTGACCACATAATGAACACAAATCTTCAGAACAGCGAGGTCGTTCCGTGAAGCCTGTATGACTGACTGTACTGCCTGTGTGACACCAGGAGGAGGAGCTTGGCTAGTTTATTTAGTAGTCTCGGCTCTACACGCACAACGGTCCAGATCAGAGGCTTAATACGTATAATAGAGTCCAACTTACATTACATTACATCCTATTCATTTGTTACGCAGGTATCAAATTCTCAAAACGTGGAGACACTTACAGCGGCACTGTTAGCTCGTGGTAGCGAGTTACAAACGGTGCAGGCCGAGTTGAAACAACTGCGTTTGGATGTAGAGGACAACGGGGCATTTAAAGTCCAAATGGAATTATACAAGTGAGTACCACAATGATATTTATATATTAAATTCTCGTATCACAATGTTAGTTACCATACGGCTTGACCGACGTTTGAGTAAGGTATTTATAATGTACCATTTTATTTTTTAGAATGTGAACTTACATACAACCCTAAATTTTCACCCTTCTAACATCGACCCTTTTTTTAATAGCTATTTTAATTTATCTGGCATGGAGAAAGGGGATTGTTAGTAATGTGGACAAATAACCCCCTTGCTAGCAATGTACTATATCAGGTTGACCTCCAGGTGGTTCCCCCTGGAAAGCATTGTGATAAATTCATGGTGAATTTGCCACGATGGGCTAACTGACCTGACCTCATGCTAATTTTATCATACCCGTAAACCGTAGCGCAGGTGGGTGCCCACCTGCGCTAACTGTTTACGCTTATCCATTATCATCCATCCCTTCGGTCCATAAGTACCTGCGGATGACTTGGATTGGTTGGATTTATCATCCATAAGATCACCATCCTGCCGCTGTATACCGTTTGTGTAGCCGGTTCCATTATCATTGTCATCTATCATAGTATTCCATTATCATCCATTAAAATACCTCATATCACCGGTGATAATGATTGTGAAAGTATGTATTACAAATACAGATGTATCATGAAGGTATTATGTTTCAAATACAGAGCTGACTTCGAAGCAGAACGCGAGGCAAGAGAGAAAATGGCCTGCGAGAAAGAGAACATAGCAGCTGACTTACGCAACGCCCAACGGAGAATAGAGTATTTGACGAATATGGTAATTTTACAGTTTTTTTTTTTATGAAACCGTATACTATCCCTAATAGAATGATGTATGTCAAGTAAGTCGAGAAAATATCAACAATTTGAGAGCTATCAATGCTTTAGAATTTGATAGAGTTACAATAAGACAATGTATGGTGTTTTGTTGTTTATAATTGAATTGTTTTTTATAAATAGTTCTAAAAAAAATTTGCTACTGTATATTATGATTTGTCATAAATTCAATTTAACAGTCATAACATCCTTCATGATGTATTATTTTAAAATGACATTATTATATTAATAACTATTTTAATGACAATGCGGTATAGATACAAAAATATCAACTTTATTATTTATGATCCTCAATAAATATATTTGTAAAACAAAACATCTTGCCTATTGCTACAAGACTTACATATTGTTATTCAAATTCAAAATATCTTTCTTCTGTACGTCTAATACAGACTCTTATAACATGTCAAATCTATCGCCAGTTCGGAATGATTTCGAGATGAGAAGAAACTCAGCTCGTATTCTTTTTAAATAAATGTTATACATGTTTGCAATAATACAGTTAACCTAAAATACTCATAATACTCACGTTTAAAACATTATGGCAGCTGGAAGAAGCACGCCGAACGCAGTCGTCCCCAGCCGCGACCCCCACGCGGCCACCTCCGTCATCACAAAATGCCACCAACAGCACCAGAAAGGTCAGTATATTATAACCAGCCGTATAGATTTGTCGTTGGATGATGTTCGAATGATGATTCCCATTTGTGCTAATGAAATACATTTTTTGTATATACTATTGTAGTATATATATACAAATGTGGCATCGACCATCTGATGGTAAACGGTTACTGTAGCCTATGGACGCCTGAAATAGTGGTGTCACCTGCGCGTTGGCCACCCTTATGTTATATGTTAATGAAGAAATTAGCAAATCTACTGTTAAAAACTTAAGCATTACAGATTTTAATTCATACCAGTTTTGCTCTTTTAAAATTAAAAGTATATCAAATATATCTATAACTATATCGGTTAGTTCATTAAGTGAACTACGTAGTATGAAATTATTGATTAGATTTGTTTTCTGTTCTATATTCTTATTCGTCATATATATAGTTATTGTATAATTTCACTTATAAAGGATAAAACTATTCTATTTATTATATGGAACAAAACTTATAAAGTTAAACAACTTTAATAAATATTGTTTAAATAATTTAGTCTTTACCCACGTTAAAATAATTTAGTGTTGACAAACAACCTAATTGCCCAGTAAATTAAAAATATATTAAACACATATAAGGTCCACAAAAAGCAGAAAGTGGAAGGGAAAACAGAAGAGTTGCCTCGTGAGACGACGCCGCCACCGCAGAAGTACCGCTGTCCAGTGTGCGACAAGGAGTTCAAGACTATGATACTTTTACAGCAACATGTCGACTCATGTCTGCTTTGAATGCAGAATAGAAACATATAGCGATATATTTATTTAAGTCAAGCTACTAATGGCCCATATTATAAATACCTTACAGACCAGTGTTTCCCAATCTTTGTAGTGCCTTAGCCTTTCTAAAATTCTCTAGCGTATACAAAAAAATCATATAAATTGTACCGTTTGTACCGTGCGAGACATCGAACCAGCGACGTTTGCTACACTGCTAGACAACCGAGGATTTATATAAATACGTAATAGACAATAAGATACGAACTCAGACCCATACGAATCATCATACTGCCAGGAATTGAAGACCGATTGCGAATCTAGGTCACGACCATTGGAAGTAAGACGCTGTGCTACACTTCTATTCTTATATAAAAAATACGTGTCACGTGGTTTGTCCGCGATGGACTCCTAAACTACTGAACCGATTGCAAATTTGATTGGCACATTGTGTGCAATTGAATCCAACTTGAAAGATAGCTTAAATCTCAATTTATAGTCGCAATATTATTTTATTGCAAATTATTTTTATATATAATATAAAGAAACTGTTAGCCACAGCAAAGCGTGGCCGAGTCTGCTAGTATATAATATAACAACCGTCCATAGATATCGTTATTACTTATTGTAATAAACTTTGATTAGAATATAGTTATTGTTTATTCTAATTAATTTCCAAATAACAAAGGTATATGGGTAAGAAGTCGCGCCGCTCAGCTAGTATTTAAATATATTGTTTGTGATGTTATTTCAAGTTTTACGGGCATTGTTAAATATTGGGGCGTCTAACGCCATACATTGTCAAATAAATATTAGGGTTATTCTTTAGTTTAGGGGTGAGCAGCCTTTTTCATCGAGTCAATTTAAATTAAATTAATTTTTTGCCAGGCCACACATAAAGTAACACTTATTAATAATTTGCATGCAAGATAAAAATCGCGCTTGTGTTGCATGTGTGAGCGAATCGACAAGTGAGTAATTTGTCAGAAAAAAATGTTTCGATTTAGTATGTACTACCATTTTATTATAATAAATTTTATAATACAATACTTATGGAAAAATTTCGAAACAGTGAATTCAATTTAGAAATGCTTGGCGGGCCGCATAAACATGTTTAACGGGCCGCAAGTGGTCCGCGGGCCGCGTGTTGCTCATCCCTGGTTTAGTTGATTAATGTAAATTATGTTTAATTTAGATATATTTTTACTGTATAATTTTCGCTTCTATATATTTAGTTGCTCTCCACGCTTTATGAAGTAATTGTCGCATTTATTTTTGAGAAAATTTAGTGTAGTTGTTTTATTTTATTATATTATTTTTAAAATTATATTCAGTTCGATTTGAATATATGTTACTTTTAATTGTTTTATACATGGATAGTGAATATAATTATAGTTATTAAAAGTTTATATTTTTAATTCTATTTAGTTTTAAAACAATTTTCAAATTCGATAAATTGGTGAGCATAATTTTGTTTATGGTCGTGTTTTGATTGTTTATATTTTGTTGCATGATTTATGGTAATCATAACAGCATGGAAATTATTATATGATTTATAACAATAAAAATGTAATAATATGTTAAATATTATTATTATTTTTATGGGTTTTACAAACCAAAATTTATAATCAGATATGCCAAAATTTAAATATAAATAGTTCAACCATATTCACAAAATGATTAACAATGGAAGATAATGATGTAGGATGTATAGAAATGTAAATAAAAAAAAAGAATATAGATTAGTTTCTTAGTTACTGCAATGTAGCGAAGGTATGGCCGGCTGCAATGGGAGACGTTAACAATACATTATTTAATAAATAACATGGCTGTATGAGCATAATGCCTGTTATCCTTTTCTTTAAAGGATAAACAGAATAAAAAAATAATAATATCGCTTATTTTTACATATATTATATAAGATGACAGATTATAAATAGGTACGAATACATTTCATTATGTGTTATTTCACTAATTATTAATCACTCCTTTTGTCTTTGATCTTGTTCTTTTTTCAAACGAGTGTGTTTTATGTACGATAGTCTGTAAATATATTAGTTCCTTGTTTATACTAATAAATGAAAAATAAAATGGATTTAAATACAAAATAACACCTTTTAATATTTTTCAGGTGTACACTTGTCCTCAATGCTTAAGATTCAAGAATACCGATTTACGTCAAGTTGAAGCGCATCTGGACCATTGCGTTGGCATGGAGCTCAACCCTTGCAATCCTACATAAAGTTTTTACTGCAAGGAAGAAATCTAATCGATTAATATTATAGTTCAAATTTGATTGCAACACCAATTCAATAATATAATTTAACAAAATGCGTATATAAAGTACAAATAATATGCTATATTTTTAATGTAACATTAAAATTTACATGAGACAAAGTTCTTACTTTAGAATGTTATTCATAAAAAGGATTTTTATTTTAAATTTTATAGAAAGAAAGACGATGATTTCTATAGCTAAGATAGAGTATTGTCTTTAAATTATAAATAGTTTTCCAGAATTTTATTGAATTAATGTATTATATTTAAAAAAAAATTAAACGTTTATGGAATTCGGCGTTGCTTCGTGGATTTTTATTTTGTTTGTCATCTAATGTTTTTAATTAACATCCACTAATTTTCGTTTATATAACTATAATTAAGATCTATTCCCGCTACATACGTATTCCTTTAAAATGATTGATTATTTTGCTTAAAGAAATATTTTTAAGCGATTTTTTTTTGTCTATTAAGTGATATTTTTGTTTTCTCTATTACGTCGTCGCGTTTTAAGGAAATTACAGACAAAAAAATATGTGATATAATGTAATAATTGTATTTGTAACTTCCATATTTTTATATGTAGTAAGTAATCTGTACAAAATTACGCTGTTGATGAAATAAATTTCATTGAAATATTGGCTTTATTTTTATATGACGTGTTGTAGTTTATTTGTAAACTGTTATTAAATTTCACAATTATGTCCTAAATTATTACAAAACAAATATAATATGTCCAATGAAATATAGACTCTAAATATACATAATTCTGTGTGATTTATCATTAATATCTATCTTCACTAAATTTATTTAGTGTTTTATTAGATATTAGCTATTATTATTAGTAATTAAATATCTTCTTTTTTTTAATTCTCTCTACTAAACAGAGACACAAGAAAACTTATGTTCGTATTGTCAAACTATGTAAACACATATAGGTACAATTATAATATACGTATGTATAATAACCCGAAATACCAGAATGTAATAGGAATGAAGGTTTATTCTGGTCAAAAACGGTAGATAAGAAATTTGTCAATTATTATTATACAAGAAAATTACAATTGTGAAGGAAATACATATTGAGAGCCTTGTCTCACCATTAAATATCAAATGTTATAAGTTTTATTAATTATAATATTATTAATCCCCAAATTATTATAATTAGTTATGTATCATAGTGATAGAAGTCGCAGTAATGCTCTTGTTTTGAAAGGAATAGAAGTGGTTCTAGTATAGATCCTTGCAGAACTCCACATTTAATTGCTTTATTCGTCGTCTTTAGAGTCGTAACAGTTTATGATTTTGATCAAGTTCAAGGATGTAATATAGCATTGAAATTACTAGGTATGGAGACTTTATTTTCAGCTCTCATGGAGTTACAATGCATTTTCTGATTTCTGTGATGTTATCAATTCGCTGTTATTTTATTTTCCATTTACTATTGTTTTGTCAAAATTACTTTAAAAACGAATATTATTTCAAAACGTGTTTTTATAGTAATCTTCAATATTAGTGCCATTTAGAATAATATATCTATATATATTATGTAATGAATACCGATACCAAAAAAAACTGCTCATTTGTAAATATATTACTATTAGTACCAAAAATTATAGTCAAAAAGATATTTATCATCCTGTGAAATAATATGAACCTCATTTTACTGTTTCATTTGTAGAAAGTGTATTTACATCAGTAATAGCTGACTGCTTCATAATTAATGGAGTTTTCCAAAATACGTATTATATATTTCTTTTGAGATAAATCTTAGAATATCTGTTAAACTGTCTTAGAATACTGGTGAAACTATCTTAGAATACGAGAGAAACTAGCATAAATGTATGTGAAGACCTTGGATCCCTAAAACTGGGTTTAAATGGAATAGTAGAAGGACTAAGCTTCGTATATCTATTTTGGGCGTTACGTTCGTTACGTTTACGTTCATTGTCAATTTAATTTTTAGAATTTTTATTCATAATTCTTAGTGTGTCAGGTTTATACAAGTTTTACAATATTAAACGTACGAAAATTTGAATTTTTGTATTAAACTATACTATTCACTTAAAACCATGATTTTTACCGTATTCTAAGATTAATATGTAATAGAATTTCCATAGAGTTAATGTATGGTGTAATGAGAAATGTTAGCGCGAGAACTATGATAACTATGGCAATTACAATTAAATTGATTTCTTTTTATATCTGTATGTCGCACTCTTAATACAATACTGCATTAAATCGAAAACAATAAATTTTGAGAAATCGACCCTAATGTTTTAATACTAAAATCTAGTTTAATAAATTTGTAATATTTGAGTTAATGCAGTATTGCATTAAGCGTGTCAGATTATATATTGTAGTTATTATATAAATCTATATAAGTTCAGTTAATCCGGACTTATTCGAGATACTAAATTTATTGTTTAAATGAGAACTAATAAACATGTTTTAGTATTGTGTGATTGTTATAAGACTGTTTGTATGAGAATCTAAAATTTATTTGCTTCTAATATTAAAATTCGGAGCATAAGAATGAGGAATATCATTAAATCTGTTGAATTACTTGAAAAATTATTTCAGTAACCTTAGTAACATTATGAATTTGAAAGGTAACTAAAACTAAGGTACCAGAAATTGGAGATTAAAATTCACAAGATTTACTGCGGCTGTGCCCGCGGTTCACACTCGTCAAATTATATGAGAATGTATATAGTCTATGTATTATTCTCATGTATAAGCTATGTATTGTAAAACAAAATCGAAAGAGTAACAAACATCCATCCATCCATACCCACAAACTTTCATGTTTATAATATTAGTAAGATGTGTATTAAACTCAAAATATCAAAGTATTTGTTTTTAATAGAGCATAACGCAACAAAAATTTAGTGATATACTTCATTCTTAAAAGTAATTTAAAGCATATTTTAATTATATTAGACATTAGGAAATGACGTAGTATACCTGAATTTAAAAAAACGCATCACGACGTGGCATGTTCTGCCACTTATTTTATTTTATGTCATATAACATTTGTATTAAGATTTAGATTTGTTCTCTTGGCTTAATTACTTATTACATTAAGGGGTATTACACTATCACATAGTATGTAGACTGTAAATTTGAATTATCATTAGTGTCTACAATAGACATAAATGGGTAAAGATATTTTGGTTTGGTTTCATAGTAACACTGACACAAATATATCCATATAAGAAACTAGCTGTGCCGGAGGTTTCCACCCGCGTGATATTTATAGCCTGTGTTATTCTAATGTATGATATATGTATGAGTACTATTATAAAGTACCAATAAAATCCATTCAGTAGTTTTTGCGTGAAAGTGTAACGCACATTCATCCATCCATCCGTCCACACTCACAAATTTTCGCGTTTATAATATTAATAAAATGAATTAATCTTTAATAACTGGAGCATACTTTTAATTCAATATCATCTTAGTATATCATTATTATTTTTCGCCTTTAAAATACATTTAGATATGATAGTGTAATAAGCCCCTCGATGTAAACACTGGTCAATGTGGAAACAATTTTATTGTTATTTTATTAACTTTAGCTCAATGTTAGATTGGGTTTGTAATTTTCTTATATTTTATAAATCCTCTCATAAGGAGTCCAGTACTGGGACGATGAAACATTGTTATAATACTAACAATATGGATGTGATAGTGTAATAAGCCCCTTGATATAATCACTGTTCAATATGGAAACCATTTCATGTTATTTTATTAACTTTAGCCCAATGTTATATTGGGTTTGTAAGTTCCTCTTATGTTTTATAAATCCTCTTATGAGGTTTGTATGTTAGTCTTACCGTCATTCTCTATGATTGCACAAACATTGTTTTGTTTCGCAAAATAAAGTTTTAGAAAACAAAAGTCATTTATTTACATACATATATATATATATGTTATCACTATACATATAATTCCTGATCGGCGAATTATAGGTAATTGAACATATGATCGACACAACAAATATATGGTCGGGAAAAAATATTAGTACAAAAACTAACGTTCATAAGCGGCTGAAATGACCTACATGAATAAATGATTTTGGATTTGTTATTATTGGAATTAGTAAAAAAAATTAAGCAGCTACTTTTAAATCATGTGCAGTCGAAAATATTCAGTGGAGTACAAAATTATTCTTTGTATCGGCTCTTACATGTGAATTTAATCCGAGAATTTTCGGGCATTTCAATAGGTTCATAGAAATATAGGCAAGCGAAGGATCTATTTGTTTAAAGCTTTTCTCATTTGCTGGCAGGAAAGGATAGCAATAAAAAAAAATACAAGTTGGATTTTTAAAATGAAACATTTATTTCATGTAACCCGTAGCGTTTCTTAGCTGTTTTTAAAAAAATGTATACAAATAGGTTAATATTTTACTAATCTCAATTTACACAACAATATTCATTTTTCTACAAATTCAAAAGCATTATACAATATCTAATACATCAAGTGTCACTTTGACACTATTGGCACCATTAAAAATATATATAATAGACTCTATGGTATGTTTGTTTATTAAAATTGTGATGTAAGAAACGCTAAAAACTAAATGTGAGATTCTGATACAGAGAAAGCTGTCTGCAGATATAATTAAACCGTTAAATAAGTATAAACCGCAACTTATACATACAAATCTGATATGCGAGTAGAGTCCATAATCACTGGTAATTTCTGACTATAAACATTTCCAAGTAACAAACAATAAATAGATTGGATGCATATAAAAATAAATCTTTTTAAATACTTATAAACTAGTTAAATTAAATCAATATACAGTATACGATCAAACTTACATGTTCTTTAAGTTGTAATTGTAACAAGGCATGGCCTAAATTTTAAATTATAAAAATCATGTCTAAAATTGTTACTAGGTACTAATATAAATTAATGTAGAAAATAAATTACAGACATAAACTGTGGTCGTCACCATCATCATCATCGTGTCGCTCTCGATGCTTCCATCACCAGCCCATGGACGTCCACTGATTGACATAAACACAGTTGCAATGTATTAAAAATATAACCTAATTGGATTTATAGACGGTAAAGTATAAGCCACTTATGTGATTTACAAGTTTCTAACTACAGTTAGCCTTATATTAAATAATTATAACTCATACTGTACATAATACTCAATAATGCAAACAATAAGATAGAAGAGAAAATTTAGAACAAAAGAAGCGTATGTCATTTATAAATACTGTGATTGGAATGCAATGACCATTGAAATTGACAAAGTCAGTCGGAGTTATATTGACAATAATGAAAGGCAGGCATCTTGAAACACGTATAGATGACCAGCATCGAACCAGAACAATATATCTGCCTCTCCATTTATATTTTTAATATCTAGGAGGTGTACCAATAAACAGTTTACGTATAATGTAATATACACTCATATGTCGAGCTTACGACACGTATCTAATAACACAAAATGTATATTTTTTTAAAATACACTAATAAAGTCCTTAAAATTGTATACACATTAATAATAACATTACAATTAGTTGCAAACATAAATTAATTTATGTCGCTTCGAAGACTAGAATACGTTGAGGATAGCAAGCAAACGTCAACTGGAGGAACTTGACATTTGTTTATGCTTTTTGTTGGCAAAGCGGTGCAGTTGTGTTTACCGTTGCAATAATACGTTGTTATTATACTGTGGTGGCGTTTTCACTTGGTTGGGTTATACCAAGATGGCGTCGTGTGTCAAGAGTTGGCGCGAAATGGGCTGGCTGTATGCATTAGCGTTTCCCGACGAAGTCGATCATTTGATCTATCTGTTCCTCCTCGTCGTAGAGGTACAAAGACTCCATGCAACCCTTGAAATAGGGTGTAGTAAAGCATTTTGCCCTGAAAAAAGAATATTCAAATTAGAGGTGTAGGGGAAAAAAATATAACTTATAATTGGATAGATTAATCTACAATCAATTGCCTAATTTTATAATAAGTTATTTATTAATCGTTTCAGTATGGTTAAACAAAGACTTCCAAATCTTCTTTGTAAACTATCACACATACCAAACAATCAGGCATGTTTAGTAACGCAAGAGTCAATGATTTTTATGCAATCATGCGTATGACAATTGCATCATTTGTACGAAGATTGTGGGGTAGTTTAAACAAAGTGTTGAAAATCATTACGACAGATTAATGACTCCGTCCTGCTCTGTAGGCGCATAGATCTATGCAGCTCGACCTGTATATATTGCGAGGAGGCAATACTCTCCGTTCCTTCTAAGAGATATACTATTATATAGTTTTGAATACAAATGATTATTATTATTGACTTTGTATAATAATAATAATGATAATCATTTGTATATGGATCTTTGCCTAATTATTAATATATAATTATTTTTAACTTGGTTCTAGCTGCTTGTTACTTGCAATGTTGTGTTTGCATTTGAAGAATGAGATAGAGCGTGAAGTTTGAAAGAAAGGACACAGGGTACCATGTTGTGCATAGCATCACGTGATGAGTACCACAGATATTATATATATTTACGATGCTGTTCATGTCTACAGGTGAGGGTTGCCACTGTTAAAATTATTTTCAAAGTTGCTCATCTGTGAACTAACACGTGGCTTAGCACGGTTATGTAGATGTTAGGTGGAACTTATAATAAAACATGCATACTATGTATCTAGAGCAGAGATTATAGAGTGGTAAGAATTAAATGTTGCAGTAAAGTAGGAAATAGGTGGAGAAATGTGAAGAAAATCTAGATGTGCTTAAAATATTCCATGCTGTTAATTATTTGATTATTTAGAACTATAACTTTTGTTTTTCAATGAAGTTGTCTTTCTTCTTAAAGAAGCAAACTTCAACGATTTCAAAATTTATAACTTTATATACCTATTTTTAAAGTTGGCATAAGAAATCTAGCAGAAAGTTATTTAAAACCCTTAAGTATTACAAAGCGCATTCGTAAGTAGTACATGCTGTTATTTATAATGTAAACATAATTCTTAGTTAAATACATATTGGTAGATAATACTAACTTAAAGGTTAGAGTGCTGAAAAATAAAAGAAATGCCGATACCTTTATAGCCTTAGAAATATAAATTGTATAAGCATTAAAAACCCCCAGAGTAATAAATCCAAGCGTCAGAAAAACAGGCATAAGTGTCAAACAAAAAAAAATCAAACCGAAGTACCTAAATCCCTGGATCGGCCCCGTGTAATTGTTTTATATAAGTCTTGAATAGTTCTAGCTGATCCGTCTCTTGCAACACCTCGACGCACCCTTTGAAGTAGTCTGTCGTAAAGCAATCTTGCCTGCCCCAACAATCAACAAACATTCAATCATAGGAGTCGTTAATAAAAAAAATATAGGCGTTTCAGACGAGATGAAGTTTTACCTTTACCAAATGCAAGAAAATTAACGTACCCACATTTTGTACAAACTGTTAAGATCTACCTGTTCTATACTAAGCAAGTTTATAAACAAAAAAAATGGTACTGTTTTGGTTGATGGAAAAAATGTACACATTTGGCATTAAATGTACAGGTATTTAGGACTATGTACATATATGTACATTATAGAACTTGATTTCTAAATATCTAATGATCTCTGTTGATATTGAAAGATACCTTTGAAATTAAGATGCTGTAATAAGTAGTTGATATTATCAATATTCCTATTTAAATACTAAAGATGAACGTAGGTATATTTTGTAATATACGAACATTTTTTTAAGAATCCGAATACCTTAATACTTTCTCTATACTTCCCGCCTGAAAAACGCCACAGATTAAATAAAATATAAGAAACGCAACCAACCTGCATAGAGTATAGAGTTGTGGCTCCCTAAAGAGGTTGTAACAGTCGTCGCAGATTCTGTCAAGGCGGGCGAATATGGCTGCGTCGTAAACGCCTTTGCACTGTAGGTTGAAAAAGGAGCGCCTCGCGACGTGGTGCGGCGCCGCCGCCGGGGGCGCCGCCGCCGCGCCCACCGCCAGCGTCACCAGAGCCGCGCACACCACTTGCACTGAGCTTAGATGCATCTGCAACAAACGGGATATAATATAAATTTATTTATTCACATTATATGTTTACAAGTATGATCTCATATATAGGTATATGTAAACAGATTCAAAATTATCTTTTCTTTTACATTTGATATTTAATTTTTGATAATGCACCGCCCACATGAATTTCTGCTTTCCCAATGGTTGACTGGGAGAAAATGCAACAAAGTGTAAAGTCCGCCTTGTGCACCTTTATAAGTGTATTTGTGCATTGATGTTTTAATGAAGAAATATTAATTACTCTAAAAGACGAAGAAGAAATTTATATAAGAGTTTTATATAAGGTTACTCGTAAATCGTAACAATGTAGAAACAAAGTACGTAGGTATATATAAACTAAACAATTACGGCGAACGTACTGACAGCGCGCGGCAACACCGTTGCCTAGTTACGATTTAGTCACGAAAATAACAGACCTATCAATTAGGACAGAATTACTTAGGTATCTGAACGTACTGTAACGTTGTGTTGTAGTCTTATTATTATTTGTAACATTTTATATTCAATATCTGTAAATATTACTCTACAATATATGTATTATGTACATACATAGCCTCCACTGATTTTACCATTCACTTCTCTGCCTTTCTACTGCGACAGAAAAACATGATATAAATAATATTAGTACTGTCATAGCCACTAAATATATTTATGTTTTCGATCAAAAATTGGAAATAAATTTAAAACAAATTTACTATTTTTTTTTCTCTAGTGATCTATTTTTTATGAAAATAAATGTAGAATTTATTTTCAGATTTCCAATTTGTTTCTTGGTGATAGTGTTATCTATTTCATGAGTATTCTACCTGGTTTTTGGCCTAGGAGGAACCCTGCATCATTTGAAAGGTAGGTACTATATGCATAGAAAAATATTTTTAAGGGTTTGTGCCATAATTTTATAAATTAAAACGAGATATATTAAAAAAAACTTTTTATTATAACATAATTACTAAAAGTTTGGTGAATATAGTTTCTTTGTTTACCTATTTGTTAGTTATATATAGGTATCAATGTAAGAAGCTAGGTTTGCTGGAAAAATTCTCTTTTTACAGATAAGCTCGCCCTTGTACATTACATTTATCGTATCACTGTACTTTTCCTGTGTCTACAATAAAGTACATATAAAAAGGTTATTAAGTATGTATAGGCAACGGAAGTAGTTCATAGATCTAGATTTGCACGTGAAAATAATGTAGCCTGATTATTTCAAAGAATACGCATTTTAGAGCAAAATATTTCCATGAATAATATTCCAGCATGAGCGTACGCAATTACAAAGTACTGGTAGCTATATTATATCTAACACCCGCACTAATTATCGTTACTTACAACTCAGACTATTAGTATGATGACTGATAATTAGGAATATCCTTGCATAACTCTACAAGACACTGCCACAAAAACAATGGTTGCATACCGAGTCACAGTTATTATTATATACCTACATATTTTATTTAAAACAATATCTAATCATAAAAAGCTAGAACTCCCGTAGCATCACAGGAGATATTGTGTGTGTAACCAGTGTGACACACGCAGTATCACAGAAGGTAAATGTCGACTCTGTTTACTCTAATTCTTTGCCATTATTCTCTCCTATTAAGTATCTACCCTACCGACTCAGGATCCCTGTAGGGTGTTGGTCTGACTCCAGTACCTGGAATAGCAAACAAACTTACGACCCCTTGATGGTAATTGGTAGGGGGGAAGGGGATTGTTAGTAATGTGGACTAATAACCCCAGTGCTAGCAGTGTACCATATCAGGTTGACCTCCACGTGGTTCCCCTGGAAACCATAATGGCTAATTGACCTGACCTCATGCTCATTTTATCATAGTCCACTGATGCCCCGCCAGCGTAAACTGTTAGTGCAGGCGAGTGTACCATTCCATCCATAAGATATGGTAATTGGTAATCGTCGTAAGTAATATTATCTTATCTGTCCCTATATGTCTATATGATACATGAGTAGTACTACGGATATCATGTTAATTTGTGAAGCTCGAGATACCATGCGTTATCATTCCGGAGAACTAAGATGTAATTTCTTTTATCCTGTGATTTCACTGACTTATCTTCTTATTCTTCCCTTCAACAAAAAAACAGTAGGTACAAAGCAAGCTGGTTGGCGGCTTAAATAGGCGATAAAGGTAGTTGTACCATTAATGTAAAGTGTATTTAAATACATTATTTTATACGCGAGAGGCAAGTATGTAGAAACATTTAACTATATTGAACTACAAATTATTTAAGACACACCTTAGTTGCAAACAGTGTGCGAGAGTTCTAGTGAATGAACAATATATCATAGTGACATTTGACCTTTGTGTTGTATGAAGTAATTGGATTTATGTATCGAAGCTCGTAATAGTAGTATAATGTACCTAAGACGAACAACAATACTATGTTAATAAAGAAAAAATAATTCAGCTATAATCTCGCTTTCATATAGGAAACAAATTAAAAATATTATTCTAAATTTGTAAATCTTATTAATGTTATAAACGCGAAAGTTTGTGAGTATGGATGGATTTTTGTGACTCTTTCACGCAAAAACTACAGAACAGATTTTGATGAATCATTACAGTAATATAACTAATATATCAGAATAACATAAAGGCAATACCATCTTTACCATAAGGGCACGCGGGGCCCGTACCCAGGACCCCCATTCTCAGGGGCCACCCGGAGGACTGACAATTTTTCTCACACATTTATTCTCAAAAGATTTTTGTCGGGCACACTACACTTTTTTCACAAACTGCGGGCACAGCTAGTCTTATATAATTGGACCTATAGATAGTGTTGGAATACTAAAATGTCATAATCGTGTAAAAATCTTATTCTAAACTTCACATACTGCTTTTATTACTTAGTTTCGCTGTTGGTTTTCAAAAATAATAAAAAAATCTACTGCTGAGTCGCTTTGTGCCTCATTTAGCGACAACTGCATTAAATGTGAACTGAATGCACGCCGAGGTGCCATTTTGTCTGTATTCATCAGCCAATTCAACAAGACACCTCCAACTATACTTTACCCAACAAAAGTGGGAGAAAGGCGATTCTTATTAAACTGGGTGTCGGCTCAAAAGGCTTTCTGAAGTTTTGTAAACAAAATAAATTCGATATGTTTATGGTAAGGAGTCAGTGAATGTAAACGTTTCCATTGAAATGTAAGTACATTTTAATAAATGGACTTCGAGAAACCGTTGTGTATTTATTTACTGTACTATTTGCAACGTTATTTATTTTACGTTTATTCCTAGACGGTAATCGCAGGCAATCTGTTTAAAATTATATCAACTCCATTAAATTTATAACAGACATCGTTGTTGGATAAATTGAAGACCATGTTTCAATATAATGAAACATCCGGCACGAAGGATCAATTATTCGCGGTCGTGTTCTTTTTGCATAAGAAACTCGTGAGTATCCTAGACCGAATGTATTTTATCTTCGCGTTGGGTGGCTGGTAGCCGAGCTGTCTAGCCTGTCCACCGTAATTATTATGCACCGGGAGTGCGCGTGAGTGCGTTGTGAAGGAACGTTGTGTTAATGTGCAGTACAACACGTATTATAATATTACTCATATACCCACATATTGTAGGTATATTTTAATCAGATTGTAGAACGAATACACTTTCTCGTTTCTCTGTAAGTTAAACAATAAACTACTCCGAGATTGTGCTCATTAGTCTTCGCGAAACCGAACAGACTGCATTATAGCTTTATTATAAAGCTGAAAGCGGAGCCCTGGGACGCGTTACTTATCTCGTTATCGCAACAGAGCGAACAAAACAACCGCTTTACGACAAACTCCACAAAAAACAGGTTGTCTATATATACTCGAGTCAGGAAGTGTTTCCATCATCATGGCAACACATTAATCTCATTGTTTATGCTCGAACTGCGACTAGTCTATAATGGAGCGCGAATTTAATCTGTACCGGCGCATTATAACCAGTTAAGTTATTAAAACAAGATTACATTTTAATGATAACTGTCCAATAACCTCAAAAGCATAGCGAAGGTGGTCCGCGGCTAGTTAATCACGGCACTATATTTACACTTTACGGCAGGCCACTTAAGTTAATCGTTGTCCACTCACTTTACACTTTATGGCGGGCGGGCGGCGCACATTAATCCGGTCGGGCAACACCCAGTGGACATTAAAATCGTGATAAATGCTGCCAGTTGGCTGATGGCGGTCTCTAGTGAACGTACCGCGTGGCCGGACGCCGACAGTGATGCCAGATGGGGGGAAACTCTCCAAATTTAAGGTATTTTGTGGCAATAAGGAGAAATTAGAAGAAATACAATTTTAGAGGGAATTTATAAAGAAAATTTAAGTGGATTTTTCGTAGGATACACTAAGAAAACAAGAATACTGACTAATAAAAACAACACAGGGAACACAAGACTGAAACGTAAAAAAATATTAATTCTTAGAGAAACTTTTCTTCGAAAACTCAGTATTAGAGGGATTTTAGTCAAAATTAAGGGGTAAAACAAGAGTTATCTGGCAATCCTGGACGCCGATTAAGCACGCAGCGTAATCGTTGCGACACTGATCCGTATATTGCGATCGAATATTCTATTGAACCGAGTTATTAATGTTGTCTAAATAACAGACTGTCCTACACTTAATTGCGACCTACTGCTGAACACGAGAATAATTAATAATTTTGAAATAATTTGGTTTGTTACGGAAATTATATGCTATAAATTACTATGTAATAATTTCAATGGTAGAGTTCCAATTTGGTCGATATTAAAGATGAATTATGATTTGGACTATTCCAAAATGCGTGAATTTATTTATACTGCTATGTTTTCGTATAGTGTTTCTTTATAATTTTGTCTTTATTAACCAAAATAATATATAATAATAATCCTATTTATGTAAAATAGCCTGAATTTATCTGAATAATTTGTCCATGCAATTTTAAAAGAGATTTTTAAATCAAACTGTTATC